TTAGATGATGATACAGTGACGCCAGTGAGTCAATTAGTATACCGATTTTGAGCAGGAAAAAGCCCATAACTCGCTTGAATGGTGCGTGGCAGCTAGAAATAGCACGCCTGAAGCTGATTCAGAATATATATGTCCCTTGCCAAGAGGCCGAGCTAAGTTAGGTAGCTTCCCTTGTCAGCTTTATCTCCTCTGTTTTTATTATAACAGCATTTCCTTCGCTGTGTTTTTTTAATCCGTAATCGTACATGTATGGAAGAATTTTTTTCAGTATAACGTCGCTTTACTTAATCTTTGTTACTTTATTTGACAGAAGAACGATAGTTTCACCATTTATCTTGCGTAAGCTTCATTTATTCAACCTATCATGCAGGTGCTATGTACTCTTCTCAGTATACTAGTATAGTACTCATTCGCTTGCGGCTTCACCGCCAGCCTTATTAGCGCGGTGAGCCTCGATTCGTTTGCGAATTTCTTCCCTGTGAGCTTCGGCAGCCTTCTAAAAAGTTCAAACGATTTTCCATAGTTTGAGGATAACCTCATAATGTGGTCTGCTCACCTTTTCTTCTTCGGGTAAACTGTTCACCCAATCGTCCATCTTCTTCTTGAATTCCTCTCTATGTGCCTAAAATGCCCAACCGTCTGTTTTGTAAGCATTGTTCGGATTAGTGCGTTTGCATCACTCCCACCTCGAATATTTCGCGAAGTTTCGCCATGTTAGCTTCGCTTACTCCGGGAATATCCTTGAATCCATGTCTTCCTAAAATACTATAATTATAAATGCGCATGATTGAAACTCTTAGGTTGAAGGATGCCCGGCTAACACATCAAGGTCCTCAAGTGGATATGTTTATTACGAAAACTTGGTCAGAAGCAACAAGTGCTGCAGCATACTTCAAAAATCACTTATAGTTATCGCTTCATCAACAAGGTACAAGCTAGAAGATTTACCCCTGCAATCCGGAGTTTGGACGATTTCTTAGTTCATAGGATCACGACAATGTAGATTTCGCATTTTGGATGTTTGATATATGTTCATTCAATTATCGAACTACTCACCCTTTTGAGCGCAAATGACAATAGCAAGGGCCAAGAAAAGTAGCAGTTGCAACTTTAGCATTGCGATGATAACCTGTAAACCATGATCTTATGCAAATGCATCTATCAATGTCAAGCTCACATAATGATTGCTAAAAGTTTCCACAATAATTTTGAAAAGTTTAACTGACTAGAAGTGGAGCGTAATAGCTATCAGAACGTGAGCATGCGAGTCTATATAACAAAAGTTTGTTTACTTGATCAGATTTAGAACCTAATAATTGATAAACTTTCATTATGGTTCTTTGGTAAGTTGTCGGGGCAGCTCATCGCATGAAAAAGAATCATCAATAGTTGACATTTTTACAATGTATAACCTTGGTGACCAGAATAAAGAAGTAAAAATGATTCCGGACTGATGTTACAGATAGAATCCAGCTCCGCTGCCTATATACCTTTTGGCAAGACCTTGATACCGCCTTGTGTTCAATACGAGTTGTCTTTTCCACTTAGTAGAATTGAAAATTAATGGATTGTACTCGGTTGATATAAGTAAGAATGCGACAGTGGGTATCAGCGTTTTTGGAAAGGAATTGTAAGTGACATATCTTTCTCTGATGTATCTCTTCTAATTTTGTTTTCTGCTGTTTGTCGTCTTTGTTTTCAATATGTCATTGTTTTC